GTGTTATATCGAAACCGTGAATACAACTCTGCTATAAGACTGCTCGATCCGGAGCTGCTGAACCCTAAACCCTAAACCCGAAGCCGCAGGCTGGCCAAGGCATGTGCTTCCATCGACGAGAAGAACTCCCAGGCTCCAATCCGGGTTTGGGTTTAGGGTTTAGGGGTTTAGGGTTTCGGGCTTTAGGGTTTAGGGCTTTAGGGTTTAGGGCTTTATGGTTTAGCGGTTTAGGGTTTAGGGCTTTAGGGTTTAGGGGTTTAGGGTTTAGGGCTTTATGGTTTAGCGGTTTAGGGTTTAGGGCTTTATGGTTTAGGGGTTTAGGGGTTAGGGCTTTTTGGTTTAGGGGTTTAGGGGTTAGGGCTTTATGGTTTAGCGGTTTAGGGTTTAGGGCTTTATGGTTTAGGGGTTTAGGGGTTAGGGCTTTATGGTTTAGGGGTTTAGGGGTTAGGGCTTTAGGGTTTAGGGGTTTAGGATTTAGTGCTTTAGGGTTTAGGGGTTTAGGAGTTAGGGGTTTAGGGTTTAGGGTTTAGGGTTTAGGGCTTTATGGTTTAGGGGTTTAGGGTTTAGGGGTTTAGGGTTTAGGGCTTTGTGGTTTCTGGGTTTAGGGTTTAGGGCTTTAGGTTTCGGGATTTAGGGGTTTAGGGCTTTATAGGGGTTTAATGTTTAGGGCTTTAGGGTTTAGGGCTTTATGGTTTAGTACGGCTTTATGGTTTAGGGGTTTAGGGGTTAGGGCTTTATGGTTTAGGGGTTTCGGGTAGGAATTTTCGGGAGGTCCGGAGGCAAGGTTAGCCTAGACTGCTGTCGTATAGGGGCCTCAATGTCCTCCAACGCTACTATACTATTTTGGGGTTCCTTGTTGTAGCTGTTGTAACTCTATGCAGTAGACTATCCTACATGATTACCACTATTTTGGGATTCTTTACGATAATTTTCGTGGAATATACCGCAGAATCTTGTTGTAACTGTTAAGGCCCCTCTATTCGACCCGGATGCGTGTTGAGACTTCATTTTTTCCTTGCAGGGAGATTGGCTGGCTACAACAGGTTTTGGGGCATTTTGGTGCGAGAGGTTTGAGGTGCAGGGTCCAGGTGGACAGCTTATGGCTCCAACAGTGCTGAGTCGAGCCAAGAATGCAATATGTGCAAGGTATATGTACAATCATACGTAGAGCGAGAGATCATTATCTAATACAACAGTTGCAAGGCGATGGACCTCATGTTCGTCCAGGCGACCACCGAGACGCTGGAAGACTTGACAGGCGAAGTTTGGGGAGCAACCTTGTATGTTCAGTTATATGGCACCCAGAGAGGTCGTACTGTAGCTAGCGCCACCTGACTGTTTCTTGTTCGTTCCTTGTGGCTTGTCGCGATTGAGGATCTCATCTTTGCAATACCAGAGGGCAGCTAAGCTGAAACATCCAGGTCGAATTGCTTAGTAGGCTTAGTAATACTATCCCTTATCGTCCCTCTATAACTTTACTGTAATATGACCGATATTCTAGTCTAGGTACCCAGGCCCCTGTACTGTAAGCCCTATGCAGCCCTTCTAGAAATCCTGATGGAAACCCTTGAAGGGGCCCTATTCCAATCGTTCAGGCCCCGGCACCTACATGGCAATCCGCAGGCCGTCTGGAGCAGTTGGAACTGGCCCGAGAGGAGAGCGTCGGCCGCCAGAACCAGGCGAAAAGCATGAGCTTATCTGCAACGTTGTATGAGGACGGGGGTTGAGGACTTTTCTACAGTCTATGGATCAAGGTTTTGGGGGTATTTAGGTACAGCTAGTGTAAGCTGACATACCCAACATGTAGTTTGGTCTAACATAGCGTAATGCAAAAGTTTTGTGTTGTATAATGCGTTCTGTATATGAATTATGTACATATGCGCTACACACATATGGCATTATGTTATAAGATAGTGCATATTAATATTGTCGTACGAAGTAAATAGTTACATCGTGGGTAGTTAGTCGTATATGGTACATCGCATGTAGTAGTATATAGGCGAAGAATTTATTATGTTTTTAACTAGCTATCTAAACACCTAGTAAATGGTATAGAGTACATAGCATCTAGCATCTAGTAGATGACTACATTATATACGGTATATGGTAAATAATGACGCAACATGTAGAAAAGGGTCTATAGCATCCGGCAAAACAGGCATAGAGTATACGGCACACAGTTAAAATCGAATGCAGTTTTTGCGCATATTGATATACAGAAACTTCTACATCATGAAAATCTGCGATTGGCTAAGGAAGTAACTCCACGAACATATTTACATCCGTTGTCAAGTTTAATGAACCACAAAGGAATGATGACAGTATTTTCATAGATAGATTGAAATCCGGACCCCAGCATCTGGGTAGCTCTTCACAGGTGGAGACATACTACTCAGAGCGACTGGAAGTATACAGCGGCACCCACAGATTCTAGCTGCATCTTCCGGGCAAGCCGAACGACCTACCACAGTCAACTCCTGTGCGCTGGGGAGGTTCTCAAGTCCTTTGGACGGGATTTGCAGAACTTGGCGTCCAGGAGCGGGGCGGCATTGGCGTCTGCTATAACACACGGTTTATTTTGGTGTGTGTGTGTGAATCTGTGTAACTACACTATCACGAGACGGTGCAATAAGGTTGTCTATGACCACCCGCTAGCGTCTGCCGCAACGCTTAACATGACCCATACAGGTGTTCTTATGATGCAGTTTACTTGCTCCTATCCCGAGTTGACCGAGCCTTCCTGGCAGAGTGCCGGCATCATGTAGATCGCAAGTCGTCAAGTCAATGGGGCTTTTTTGAATGGGGATCGCTGTGGCTTCTTGTTCTCAGCATTGCTATCATCAGCTGCAGAGTCCTGTGTTGATATCTGGCAGAATCTTGTGCAAAGCCTGCAACGGCAGCGCCGATCCTGAAATGATTACGTTTCAGGTAGATATACCATCGCTGTTTTATCACATGTGTTAACTACTTACTTGATATTCTCACTGCTACGTGGGCTGTATTGAAACCAGAACAGTACTGCTGACCTAGCTGCCATCATCATTACTATCGCTTTTGGTTCTTCTTACTCTTGTGGTTGTGCTGGTGGTTGTTGTTGTGGTCGTCGTCGGCATCGTTCCGTGTCCGCAGGCTGGACGGCCATGACACTCGCAGTACCGCCAGCAAGGTCGGGATGCTTGTGCATGGTACTGCTACTAGCTGCTGCTACTGCCACTGCCACCACGACTACCACTATTCCCACTGCTACCACTGCTACCGCTGCACCACTGCGAACACCGCTACCACTGCCACCACTTTTGCTGTCTCTGCCTTCTACCACCGCCACCGCCATTATTATTATGAGCCCCAAACACACCTCCAGTGCTACTGCTTTTATTGCTACTGGTACTACTCCTGCTGCTGCTACTGCTGCTGCTGCTGCTGCTGCTGCAGCAACAGCAACTAACACCACTACTACTACTACTACTACCACCACTGCTACTAACGACGAGTACTACTACCAGTACTACTACTGCTACTACTGCAACAACAACAACAGCTGCTACTACTATTACTACTACTACTACTACTACTACTACTACTACTCCTATTCCGACTACTGCTGCTGCTACTGCTACGGCTACGACTAAGGCTACTGCTACGGTTGCTGCTCCCACAGTGCTTGTACGAGTGCGAGTACTGGTGCCAGAACATGAATGATCTGAAACAGGATGATGCTGCATCGAAGCAGGCCCTTCAAATAAGCCCACGGCTTCAAGCTGACAGCCACCTCGTCAGGTCACCGCAGACAAGCTAAAATCCTCGCACGAGGTGCAGCTGCATGGATCAGTTGAGAGTTCAGCACGTTTGAGTGATCCATCTGGTAGACTGTTGAAGACAACCACCACCCAAGGATATCGATGTACGTGTTAGCATGTTAATGCCCAAACAGGGTTGGAAGTGTAAAGTAGAAGCCAGAAATTTGGAACATCATCATCCTCATGCCCTTAAAGTAAAGTATAAGGGATCCTGGCACTACTCCTCCTAAACCCACGTTCCAACTTTCTGGGTTTCACTATAGGATGTGAGGTGTGGGGTCAGCATCTGCTTGCTGCTAAACCCCGAGCCGCGAACCCAAGCTCCATGTTGGGCTTCAGAGTTTAGCATCTACTTTTTCGGGTTTGGGTGTAGGGCCCATGATGCAATGATCTTCGGAGCTCCCGCGCAGTCAGGTGCTCCGTGGAGAGGTTGAGCACCGCTTTGAAACGCTGGGTCAGCTTCTGCAGGTCGCATTTCCGGGTTCATTGATGTTCTATGAGGCTTGTATACGCGTTGTTAGAAGGGTTGGATAAGGGTCCCTTTTTGGGTCTTACAGGGCTCAGGGGTTCAATGTGTAGGATTTAGGGTTGAGAGAGAGTGTAGGCAGGCTTCAGGGCGCAGGGTTGTGGGACATAAGCACAAAGGAGACACCACGAAAGCAAGGCTAATTTGGAAACTTAGGGGTTCAGAGCGTTGGAAGTGAGTTAGTTTGGTAGGAATTTCAGAATCACGGTTTAGGATCCTGGCATTCAATCCGACAACAAAATGGTGCACGGTTTGCTGTGTGCAAGGCTTACCTGCAATCAGCGCAGTAGACTACGACAATTGAGCATGTGCCATGAAGTTTACGGTGCATGAAATGCTCTGTAGGAATCAGAAGCACCCAGCATCTTGAAATCATCAATAGGTCGAAGTCAAGAGCATTGCACATTGGCTCGCTGCAAGCCCCAGCTTCTGTCGGGTCAGGGGTGAGGAAGTAGCCGGGCTAGACTCTAGACGCTTTGTAGTGCGAGCCTTGGGGTATGAGAAGGGTTGAGTTTCGCATGAGGGTATCGGGTGCTCCGAAGCCCATCTTCCCTCCACCGAGAGTCGCTAGCCACTGCATTCCCACAACCGGAGGACACACGGGCCGTTGCCGATGCAGCCAGGCTGTCGCACCAGGCGTCGAGCAGGTCTTCGGGTGTCGGGGTACTTGAGGCCGAAGGCCCAGGTAGAGTCGGAAAGTCCTCAATCGCCTCTTGGCGGCCCCGATGCTTTTGTGCCGCTACAGTACATTATACCGTTGTATATTGTATAATATATATCATATTGTGATACATCATATTAATATATATATATATATATAATATGATATTAGATTAGATTAGATTAGATTATATTAGCTGCTATATTATATGTTCTGATTTATATATGACATATCATTAGTTATATATTATAAGATGGATGGGCCCGAAAGGCGGAGGCCGAACGCTGCACCGAGGAGCTGGGCGAACTGTCGCCCGGCTGCACCTCTTTCCGACACTCTGGGGATTTCCTCCGCACATATCGTTCAGGCCGCAAGCTTCTGAAATCTGTGCCATTTGTGGCAGGCAGCACGCGGCCAAGGCACAGGCAGCGCAGCAGGAGGACAAGCTCTGTCGGACTTCTGTTGCTCGGTAGTTTTTGAGATTGTTCAAAAAGCTGGACTCCAAGGACTGGTTAGGAGAACGCTGCCCAGGCTTCGTATGGCATTGCAGTATCACGCTTTGAAAGAGCCAGGAGCTGCAAAGCTGGCACACGACCTTGTCGCAGCAGCTGTTAGAGTGATTGCCTCGGCTGGTGCTGCTGCCGGCTGCCGTTGTGGCACTTCTGTTTGCATGCGACGGCATGGAACTCAGGATGGATCTCGGCACAACTCGTGCATGCATGGTTTCATGGGCATACAAATACAGACGTACTCCTCATATATAGATTTTTTATAGTACACAATTACGTAGTATGACACGATGAAACATAATGGAATATAATACAATATAAAAGAATAAGATATATTATAATGTTATCAGATCCTATCTTATCTTACTCTATTGTTTTTGTAAATTTTGGTGTTTGAAACTTAGCATGTCAATTAAAATGTATTAGTTCGAATTCAATCAAGACAGACTACACTAAATACAATGACAGTAAATGACGTTATGAGTTTCTATTTTATAGAAAAAACATAATACAAAATTAAGTTATACTATATTATATTATACTTCATTGCATTAAAGTATATTATAATGCATTATGCTTTATTATGTTACATTACATTACATTACATTATATTATATTATATTATATTATATTATATTATATTATATTATATTACATTATATTATATTATATTATATAATATTATATTACATTATATTATATTATATTATATTATATTATATTATATTATATTATATTATATTAATTAAATATTATATTATATTACATTATATTATATTATATTATATTATATTATATTATATTAAATATTATATTATATTAAATATTATATTATATTATATTATATTATATTATATT